CCCTCTCTCTCCCACCCCTCTCTCTGTCCCACCCCTCTCTCCAACCCTCCCTCTCCCACCCCTCCCTCTCCCACCCCTCCCTCTCCCACCCCTCCAACCCAGCCCGCGAAAATCCCACCCCCTCGAAAAACCCCCGAGCGCCCAACCCTCTCTCTCCCAAACCCTCTCGCCCCCACCCCTCTCGTCCCCACCCCTCTCTCTCCCACCCCCTCCCTCTCCCAACCCTCTCTCCACACATCTCCCCTCTCTCTCCCACCCCCCTCTCTCCCACCCCCCTCTCTCTCCCCCCCCTCCTCCCACCCTCTCTCCCAAACCCCTCCCTCTCCAACCCCTCTCTCCCTCTCCACCCTCTCTCTCCCACCCTCCCTCTCCACCCCTCTCTCTCCCACCCCCTCTCTCTCCCCACCCCCCTCTCTCTCCCACCCCTCTCTCTCCCCACCCCTCTCTCTCCCACCCCCTCTCTCTCCTACCCCTCTCTCTCCCACCCCTCGCCTGCCATCCAATCGCAGGTCGTGGATGTCGACCTTCCCACCGCTGCTGCTGCTGCTGCTGCTGCTGCTGCCGCCTCACCAGCAGCTGCCGCAGCAGCACCAGCAGCACCAGCAGCAGCAGCAGCACCAGCAGCAGCGGCAGCAGCAGCAGCGGCAGCATCGTCGCCGGTGCGGCTGGACTTTTTGTCGCGCGCGCGCAGTGTGTTCATGAGCGCCGTGCTCTCCGACCCCGCCGCCCACGCCCTGCGCGAGGAAGGTGAGCTTGGGATGTGCAGCAGGAAAGGTATTGCGCGTGTGTGTGCGCGTGCAGCAGGTGAGCTTGGGATGTACATCTCATTCACGCTGCTACACTCATATTATCTTCCAAACCACTAAACCCCCTTCTCATCATTCCTCCTAAGCCATCCGCACATCCCTCGCCCTGCTCCTCCCCTCCGCTCCCCTCTCCTCCCCTCTCCTCCACTCCGCTCCCCTCTCCTCCCCTCTCCTCCACTCCGCTCCCCTCTCCTCCGCTCTCCTCCCCTTGCCTCCTCCCTCCCCCCTTCTCCCCACCTCTCTCCCCCCCCTTCAGCGAGCCGTGTGCTGGGCGGGGGGGACATAAAGACGGTGAAGCGGCATGCTATTCAACTCATTATCTGCACATCCCACTTCCTCTCCTGCTCCTCGCCTCCCCCCCCCCCCCGGTCTCCCCCCCCCCCAGCCAGCCGCGTGCTGGGCGGGGGCGACATCAAGATAGTGAAGCGGCGCGACCTGGCGGAGGCGGGGGGGCGCGTGGGCGAGGAGAAGCAGTTCTGCGCGCTCAAGCACAGCGAGTGGCTGCGCTGCCTCAGAGAGGAGCTCATGCTGCTCAGGGTGAGACGAGCCCATGCTGCTGCGGGTGGGATAAGAGCACCTCATATCACTGCATCCCTTCTCCTCGCCGTACTCACCATCGCTCAACCATAGCGAGTGGCTGCGCTGCCTAAGAGGGGAGCCCGTGCTGCTGCGGGTGAGCTAGGGCGGGAGATGCCATGGCGGCACCTCATGCTGCACATACCACTGCACCACTGCATCCATTCTCCTCACCATCCTCGCCCTGACTCCCCAACCCCCATTCCCTTTCTCCCCCTGTCCACACCCGTACAGCCTCTCTGCCCTCTCCTCATCCTTCAACTCCCATGTCCACCCGCATCATCCCCTGCCCCTCCCCTCCTTCCTCCCTCCCCCACCCACAAATCGAGCGCCACAACAGCATGCTGGCCCACACGCCCTCCCACCGCCCCTGTTGCTCCAAATCCCATGTCCACCCAGCCCCACCCCCTCTCCGCGTCCCCCCTTCTCTCTCCCTGTCCGCCCTTCTCTCTCCCCGTCCCCCCTTCTCTCTCCCTGTCCCCCCTTCTCTCTCCCCGTCCCCCCTTCTCTATCCCCTCCAACCCCACAGATCGAGCGCCAGAACAGCATGCTGGCCCACACGCCCTCCCACCGCCCCTCCCCCGCGTTCCCTTCCCTTCGCCCCGCGGACTTTCCTTCCCCTCCGCCCCTCGCCTCGCACTCCTTCCCCGCGCACACCAGCAGCCCCAGCAGCAGCAACGGCGCCACTGCCTGGCCGGGAGGGGGCCCACCGTGGGAGCAGCAGCATGGGATGGGCATGGGGGGCGAGGGGGCGATGGGGGCGATGGGGGCGCGCATGAGGGCAGTGGGTGCTGCTGATGGCGTCTTCCCTGCTCTGCCTGCCTCTGCCTCCCCGTGGTCGCCAGCAGCAGCAGGTGGAGGGGCAGGGGGGGTGGCGAGTTACAGTCCTCTGCAGCGCAGTACGAGCATGGCACCCACCAGGGCGCTGCTGCAAGGTACCCTCGTGGGTGGCACACAGCAGGGGGCACACAGCAGGGGGCACACAGCAGGTTCATGAGCGAAGAATTTGCGTGGGTGGCACTGTGCCGCCCTGGAGGGCTGCTGCTGACGTGGCGGTGTCCTGCATGCCCCCATGCTCCTCCAGTGCTCCTTGTGTCACATCACGTGCACTCATGAAATCTCCCTGCCATTCATGCCAGTCCACTGCCGCTTCTTCCTCCCTGCTTCCAACCTCTTCATCACACCTTTCCCCTCCCTCCCTTCCCCGCATTTCCTCCCTTCCTTGCCCTCCCTCCCTTCCTCTCCACCCCTTCCCTTCCCTCCCCTCCCATACCTCCCTCCCGCCCTTCCCTTCCTTTCCCCCTCGCCCGTTCACCACCCCCTGCCTGCACCGACAGCCGATGCGAGGCTAGCCAAGCGGCCTCTGCCCGTGCCCCTCCCCGTGTTCAGCCCGTCCTCGCACCCCTCGCCCCCCGCCCGCCCCACACCCACCACCCCTGCCCTCCTGCGCCTCTCCTCCATGTCCCTCTGCTCCTCCTCCTCGCCCCTCGATCACTTCCTTGCTTCCACCTCCGCTGCGGCTGCAACCACCACAAGCAACGGCAGTGGCAGCAGCAGCAGCAGCAGCAGCAGCAGGTGGCGGCGGCGGCGGCACCAGCAGCAACAACGTCACCACAAGCAGCAGAAGCGGGGGTGATGCCACGTCAACAACGCCCCCATCATCTTCTGCCACGTGCTCCACCACCACGTGCCACCGAGAGCCCCCAGCAGGCGGGCAGGCGCACCCGTTGGTGCAGCAGCACACGCGGCACAGCAGCCTCGCACTGAGGGGCGGCGATGGCGACTCCCTGCCCGCCCTGCTCGCTCACTGGCCCTCCCTCCACCACCGCCACCGCCACCGCCACCGCCGCAGCACCACCATTGGTGAGTGAGGGGGTGAAGGCTGGGGGATGGGAGGGAGCGGCAAGGGCGAGGGAGAGGGATGGAGGGACGGCGACGGAGATTGGGGGCTTAGGGAGGGAAAAAAGTTAGGGAAGCAAGGGAGGCTTCCCTTACTTGCGTCACTGTCATCCTTTTCCCCCGTCCCCCCCCCCCAAGGGTCCCTGACGGATTTGGGCCATGGAGCGGGCGGCAGCGGGTGGCCTCTCTTGCATCACCATCATCCTTCTCCCCCGTCCCCCCCCCCTCCCCTCTCCCCACCCCCAGGGTCCCTGACGGATTTGGGCCATGAAGCGGGGGGCAGTGGGCGGCCTCTCTTGCATCACCATCATCCTTCTCCCCCGTCCCCCCCCCTCCCCTCTAGAGTTGAGCATTTGACCCGACCCGACCCGACCCGACCCGATTTGGCCGGGCCATACGGGCCCTCGGGTCGGGTCGGGTCGGGTCGACCTCGGGCCAGATTCCCGAAACATCTGGCCCGACCCGGGGGTACAGGGCCGGGCCGACCCTGGCCCGAGTTCGGCTCGGGCCGGGTCGGGTCGGGCCAGGAAACCCGATTTCACCCGCGCTCTGCGCAGATCGGCGCTTTCGCCCGCCGATCTGCGCAGATCGGCGATTTCGCCCGCCGATCTGCGCAGATCGGCGATTTCGCCCACCGATCTGCGCAGATCGGCGATTTCTCCCGCCGATCTGCGCAGATCGGCGATTTCGTCCGCCGATCTGCGCAGATCGGTGAGTTCGTTGGCGCAACTCTGCAAATCGTCAATTTCGCTGAAAATCTGGTGGAGATTGGGAGTTTCGCCGTGGCACTCGTTTCTGACGAATGTGTTGGAACAAATAATTCCAACCAATTCGCCACTGCTCACCACTCCTTACCGCACTAAATCTACCATTCCCAACCCTCCCCCCCCCCCCCCCCCCCCCCCCCCCCCCCCCCCCCACTCTTTACAGATCCCTCGACATTGAGCCTCTCCACAAAGTCGACTTTAACTTAGCAGCATCATTCTTTGGCTGCAAACTAAGTAGTTATGGTTCCTAGACGACGTTGGTCGCTTGAGGAAGGATATTAGGTGTGCGGTAATGAAATGATGTGTACGGGGAAAAAAATACCCTTGACATAAAATGTGTTAGGGTTTCGGGTCCCCCCTGTGTCGAGATCTGACCCGACCCGATTTCCCAAATTCTGACCCGAAATCGGGTCGGGTCAAAGCTGACCCGAGACCCGACCCGACTCGGCCCGAGTCCCATGCTCGGGTCGGGTTTTAGCCCGGGTCGGGTCGGGTCGGCCCGCACGGGGCAGGTTATTGAAACTACTGACCCGACCCGGGCTAAACCACGGGTCGGGTCGGGCCGGCCTGACCCGCGCGGGGCAAATGCTCATCTCTACTCCCCTCTCCCCCCCCCCAGGGTCCCTGACGGATTTGGGCCATGAAGCGGGGGGCAGCGGGCGGCCTCTCTTGCATCACCATCATCCTTCTCCCCCGTCCCCCCCCCCTCCCCTCTCCCCCCCCCCCAGGGTCCCTGACGGATTTGGGCCATGAAGCGGGGGGCAGCGGGCGGCAAGCAGCGATGGTGGCGGCAGAGGAAGGCTGGAAGGCTGGGGAACGGCAAGGGCGAGGGAGAGGGATGGAGGGAGGGAGATGGAGATTGAGAGCTTAGGGAGGGAAAATCTAGGGAAGCAAGGGAGGCTTCCTTACTTGCGTCACGGTCATCCTTCTCCCGCTGTTCCCGCCCCCACAGGGTCCCTGACGGATTTGGGCCATGAAGCGGGGGGCAGCGGGCGGCAAGCAGCGATGGTGGCGGCAGAGGCGGCAGCAACGGGTGGGCAGCGCATGGTGCGCATGTGGGAGCGCTTGAAACGCATCATGCCACCACCCAGAGGTTCCGACCTTGAGGTCTGTCTGATCTGACATGCAAGCATTGAACGCTTGGTGTGCATTTAATATGCACTTATTTTTTATATCTTTTTTTTTTTTAAGGGTTTTCAGGGAGAGAGAGAGACCACTGGAGGTACTACCTGCTTCATGCACGGCTTGCATCAGCCTCTCTGCGCATTCCAATTCGCTCCTCTCCTCATCGGCGTTTCATTTCCACCCGTCACGTTTCCCTCTTCCTCTTCTTCTCTCAGCAGGAAGCCTCGCCACGCCTCTCGCTTCTCTCGCCTCGCTGCCCCACCCAGCAGCACCTCAACCACAGCGCCAGTTTGGGGGCCAGCATAGGCATGGGCATGGGCATGGGCATGGGCATGGGCATGGGCATGGGCATGGGAATGGGCATGGGAATGGGCCTGGGAATGGGCCTGGGAATGGGCATGGGAATGGGCTTGGGAATGGGCCTGGGAGTGGGCATGAGCGGGGGCGCGAGTGTGATTCAGCTGCCAGCGGGGATGACGCTGGTGGAGGCGCTGCTGGCGGGCCGTGTGCCACGCAACCAGAGGGGCGCCGCCTGGGTCGCCATCGCCACCGCCCACCCCGATGTCAGTCACTCTGCTGCTCATGCTGCTGCTGCTGCTGCTGCTGCTGCTGCTCATGCTGCTGCCGCCGCCGCCGCCACCGCCGCCGCCGCTGCTGCTGCTGCCTCGCCTGCTCTGCTCACGCCTGATCTGCTAAAAGCCGCACCTGTGCATTGTCATGCCTCAGTGCACCTCAACGCACTTCCTCCATGTCTTCACATGAGCTACCTGTTTTCCAATCTATTCCACCATCCTTTTGACTAATTCCTTGTTCGTCCCTCCTTTGCTCCCCTTGCTCTCCCCTCTCCTTACTCCCTTTCCCAACCTCCTCTCCCTCCTCTCCCCTTCACCCTCCCTCCCTCCACATGCCATGCCACCTATCACACACCTCATCCCCCACCGTCTCCTCTCACCACCAGGACACCTTGGCGGATGGCAGCAGCTACGCCTCTCTGCTCATGCAGCCCTCCGCCTCCGCCAAGTGAGCTCCCCACCCCCCCACACACGCTCTCATGGCATGTCACACAGACGCTAAGTGGCAGGCCACACAAATAGTTCCCCACCCTCACACACGCCAAGTAAGCTCCCCACCCCCACAAACGCCAAGTGAGCTCCCCATCCCCACACACGACAAGTGAGCTCCCCACCCCCACACACGTTCCATGCTCCCCCTTTACCTTCCTGCTTGCACTTGTCGCTGCATACCCCATCCCTCCCATTCACTCCACTCCCCCCCATCCCCACCATTCCCCCCATTCCCCCCGCCTCCCGGTCCCCCCCCCAATCGGGCACAGGGAGATAGAGCGGGATGTAAACCGCACCTTTCCCAACCACCCCATTCCCCCCACCCCACCCCATTCCCCCCACCCCACCCCATTCCCCCCACCCCCCTCCCCCGCGCTGCTGGCAGGGAGATAGAGCGGGATGTGAACCGCACCTTCCCCAACCACCGGCTGTTCCAGGAGGAGAGGGGTGCCGGCCAGCAGTCCCTCTTCAACGTCATCAAAGCCTACTCTGTACCGCACCGCAACGCACCGCACCCCCCACCCTGCCCTGCCCTTCCGCACCCTTCCCCCGACCGGCCCACTACCCTGCCCTGCTATGTGCTGTCTGCTGCTGCACCCTTCTGCTCCCTGCCTTGTTACTTGCCTCTCTCACCGACCACCACTCGCTCTTCATCGTCATCCACGCCTACTCCCTACCCACCCATGCCCTGCCCTGCCCTGCCCTGCCCTGCCCTGCCCCGCCCTGCCCTGCCCTGCCCTGCCCTGCCCTGCCCTGCCCTGCCCTGCCCTGCCCTGCCCTGCCCTGCCCTGCCCTGCCCTGCCCTGTCCTTCGCTGCAATGTGCACCTCTGCTCTGCTGCACCCTTCTGTTTCGCAGTGCTCTGCTTTGTGCCATGCCATTCCATTAATGCCATGCCATTCCATTAATGCCATGCCATTCCATTAATGCCATGCCATTCCATTAATGCCATGCCATTCCATTAATGCCATGCCATTCCATTAATGCCATGCCATTCCATTAATGCCATGCCATTCCATTAATGCCATGCCATTCCATCCATGCCATGCCATTCCATTAATGCCATGCGATTCCATCCATGCCATTAATGCCATGCCATTCCATCCATGCCATGCCATGCCCACCCCACCTTTCTCTTGCATTCTGGTCCTTACTCCGTCTGTGTGTTCCCTCCTCGTCTCTTGCCCCGCCCCTACACGCCCCGCCCCTGCACGCCCCTGCACGCCCCTGCCTACCCATGCCGAGCACCAGGTGTTGGACAAGGAGGTCGGCTACTGCCAGGTACCTTCCCCTTGCCTTGCCCCCTCCCCCTCCCCCTGCCGTCTAGAGAGGATGGGCGAAGGGAAGGAGGCGAAGTAACAAGGAAAGGGAAGAGAAGGAAGGAACAGAGGAAGGGAAGGGGAAAAACATTGGGTTAGATGGTGAGTAGGGGTGAAGAATCGATTGGAAGGCAAATAACGAAAGGGGGAAAGGAGGGAAAGATGGCGAGAAGAGGGAGAGGGGGCTAGGAGAGAGGAGAGGGCAAGGGGATGGGGAGAGGGCAAGGGGATGGGGAGAGGGCAAGGGGATGGGGAGAGGGCAAGGGGATGGGGAGAGGGCAAGGGGATGGGGAGAGGGCAAGGGGAGGGGAGAGGGCAAGGGGAGGGGGAGAGGGCAACGGGAGGGGGAGAGGGCAACGGGAGGGGGAGACGTCAGGGGGAGGGGAAGGGGGCAAGGGGATTGAGAGAGGGCAAGGGGAGGGGGAACGCCTCCCCGCCCCTTCCAGTCGTGCCCACGTGTCCTTACCACCACCTGTAGCTTGATTCCTCACAGCTCTGCCGCTCCCTTGTGTAGAGATCCATGTTGATCACTTCTCTCGCATGCCTCCTCTCCACTGCCCCTTCCCCTCCCCATCCCCCGCACCCCACTTCTCTCTCTTTTTCTTCCTCTCTTTCCCGTTGCCTCTGCCTGCCTCCATCACTCCCCCCCACCACGCCTTGTCATCACCTCCGCTGCCCATGTGTGCTGCACTGCACGGTGCATGTTGCGTGTATGCATATTGCATATGCATGGCGCATGGCGCATGGCTCACGGTGGGCAGGGCATGGCGGGCAGGGCATGGGCAACACTGCTGACGAGCATGGGGGAGGAGCACGCGTTCATGCATTCCCCCCTTCCCCTTTCCTTCTTCCTTCATCCACTGGCATGGCTCATGTTGGGCAGGGAATGGGGTTCATAGTGGCGACGCTGCTGATGAGCATGGGGGAGGAGCACGCGTTCATGCATTCCCCCCTTCCCCTTTCCTTCTTCCTTCGTCCACTGGCATGGCTCATGTTGGGCAGGGAATGGGGTTCATAGTGGCGACGCTGCTGATGAGCATGGGGGAGGAGCACGCGTTCATGCATTCCCCCCTTCCCCTTTCCTTCTTCCTTCGTCCTTGGTCCAATGGCACGTTGGGCAGGGAATGGGGTTCATAGCAGCAACGCTGCTGATGAGCATGGGCGAGGAGCATGCCTTCACGTGCCTTGTCTTTCTCATGTACCGCTGCGGCCTGCGCGGGGTCTTCCTGCCCGACATGCAGCAGGTGGGGCTTTAAGACATGCAGCAGGTGGGGCTTTAAGACATGCAGCAGGTGGGGCTTTAAGACATGCAGCAGGTGGGTCTTCCTGCCCGACATGCAGCAGGTGGGGCCAAGGATCAAAATTACGGTTATCGTATTATACGGTCCGTATAATACGGTCGTTTTTTACGGCCAAAAATAAAAAAATACGCCGTATTTTTGATAGACTTTTAAAAAACGTAGTTTTCCTCCTAGCAATCACTGAATTTTTGAAAACCGTATTTTACGGTCGTTTTATACGATTCCGTATTATACGGTAGAATTTCAATAATTCGGTCGTAATTTTGAACCTTGGGTGGGGCTTTAAGACATGCAGCAGGTGGGTCGTCCTGCCCAACATGCAGCAGGTGGGGCTTTAAGACATGCAGCAGGCAGGGCTTTAAGACATGCAGCAGGTGGGGCTTTAAGCCATGCAGCAGGTGGGGCTTTAAGACATGCAGCAGGTGGGGCTTTAAGACATGCAGCAGGTGGGGCTTTAAGACATGCAGCAGGTGGGGCTTTAAGACATGCAGCAGGTGGGGCTTTAAGACATGCAGCAGGTGGGGCTTTAAGACATGCAGCAGGTGGGGCTTTAAGACATGCAGCAGGTGGGGCTTTAAGACATGCAGCAGGTGGGGCTTTAAGACATGCAGCAGGTGGGGCTTTAAGACATGCAGCAGGTGGGGCTTTAAGACATGCTGCAAGTAGGTCTTCCTGCCCGAAATGCAGCAGGTGCGCTGGGATGGGGCTTCAAGACATGCAGCAAGTGGGGCGTTGACTGTTACGGATGCCTTGTGTGCACAACTCACATGCCATTGCCATCCCATGATGCTATTGCCATCCCATGATGCCTTCTCTGGATCTTGCTTAACATCACATCCCTCCCTCTCCCTCTCCTGGACGCATGTGGGTGTGTGCATGTGGGTGTGTGATATGTGTGTGTGCACGTGTGTACATGTGTGCAATGCGTGTGCATACCCGTGTGTGTGAGTGCCCCTGTGCCCCGCCACGCACAGCTGCAAGTGCGCATGTATCAGCTCACGCAGCTGCTCATCCACCTTCCCCCGTGTGTGCCCCCGTGTGTGCCCCCGTGTGTGCCCCCGTGTGTGCCCCCGTGTGCGCCCCCGTGTGCGCCCCCCCTTCTCTCCCCCCACTGGCAGTTGCAAGTGCGCATGTACCAGCTCACCCAGCTGCTCATCCACGTGACCGTGTGTGCCCCCGTGTGTGCCCCCGTGTGTGCCCCCGTGTGCCCTCCCCCCCCGCGCACAGCTGCAAGTGCGCATGTACCAGCTCACCCAGCTGCTCATCCACACTCTGCCACGCGTGCATGCCTTCTTTGAACACCTCGACATCAAACCCGTATGACACACCACATGCCATGCCATGCCATGCCATGCTATGCTGTGCCACGCCATGCCATGGGATCCCATCCAATGCCATACCAGTACTTGTGTTGTGTCTCAACTACTGTAATTAATCACCACGCCTCACTGCACCACTCATACCTCTCATTTCAGCTTTGAAACGTCATCCCAACATCACAACCGCTCATCGACATCGCTTACGTCAGCTGTCCCCTCAACATGCACGCCATGCCCCATCACGCCCCACACCACCCCACCACACCACCCCACCACACCACCCCACCACACCACCCCACCACATCACCCCACCACATCACCCCACCACACCCCATACATGCCATGCCATGGCGCCACTACACCCCATATGTGACGTGCCATGCCATGCCATGCCATGCCACGCCACCAGGTGATGTACGCGGCAGACTGGTTCCTGACTCTCTTCGCGCGCACCATGCCTCACTACCTCGTCTTCCGCGTCTTCGACATCATCCTTGGTACGCTGACGTCATCCTTGGTACGCTGACGTCATCATTGGTACGCTGACATCATCATTGGTACGCTGACATCATCCTCGGTACGCTGACATCATCCTTGGTACACAGGCGCATTTCATTCTTGATACTCTCACATCATCCTCGGTATGCTGACGTCATCATCGGTATGCTGACGTCGTCATTGGTACGCTGCCGACATCCTTGGTACGCTGACGTCATCCTTGGTAAGCTGACATCATCCTTGGTAAGCTGACATCATCCTCGGTAAGCTGACATCATCCTCGGTAAGCTGACATCATCCTCGGTAAGCTGACATCATCCTCGGTAAGCTGACATCATCCTTGGTACAGTGAAATCATCGTCAGTGCACTAACGTCTTCAGCAACTGTTGTCATTCTCAGCAGTCCCATGAGCAGCTGCACCTGCTCGCTCCACAACGCACTCTCTCTGTGTGTCACCTGTTGCTCGCCGCTACTCTCGATGCTCACCGCTGCCTCTTGCACTGCCGCCCGCTGCCTTCACTCACTCCGCTCTGCGAATCCAATCTCTCCGGATTCTCCCATGGCCCCCAACGCCCATGCCCCTCAACGCCTCTAGTCATAGCATTCCTCTCTTCCACCTCCCTTATGCTCGCCTCTGCATTCTTGCCTTTCTTTTCTCTAGAGAATAGAAGCTTCCTTCCCTCTCATCCCCCTCTTTGCTTCCGTCCCTTGGTGCTTTACATCCTGCCGTCCTCTCTGCTCCCTTGCTTGCCTTGCCGTTCCCCCGCCACCTCTGTGTGCTCCGGATGTGCAAATCACTTTCCCCCATCCACCCCCTTTCCTCCACTCTCTCTCTCCATCACAGCCAACCTCTCTTGCTGTCTCTCCATCTCCCATCTTCCATATCCCACTCGCATCTCGCATTTCGCATCTCCCGTCCCCCGTCTCCCATCTCCCAACTCCCATCTCTCATCTCCCATCTCCCATCTCTCATCTCTCATCTCCCATCTCCCATCTCTCATCTCTCATCTCTCATCTCTCATCACTGCAGCGGAGCAGACCACTGCAATTGTCTTCAAGCTCGCCATCGTTCTCCTGCAGGTATTTGCCCTCCCACCTCATCCCACCTCCTCTCACCTCCTCCCACCTCCTCCCACCTCCTCCCACCTCCTCCCATCTCTAACCACCTCTTCCCTTGCCCCACTGCACTACCATCCCTCCCTCTTCCTTTTCCCACCCACTTCCCATCACCCACCTCTCCTCTCCTCCCACAAACCGCCTCTTCCCATCCGTATTTCCCGTTCCCCTCCCTCGTACCCTCCCTCCATTCCCTCCTTCCATCCCCTCTTCCCGTTCCCCTCCCTTTTCCTTCCCCACAACACCCCTCCCCACCGGTCCCTCCCCCCACCAGGTGTGCAGGCGGCAGCTACAGCAGTGCCCGGAGATGGAGCACGCAATGTGCCTACTGTGCACACAAATCCCATTCTCGTTCCCCCCTCCTTTTCCCCTGCCCTTCCTCCCCATTTCCTCCCCCCAACCCTCCCCGTCCTCTCCCCCCTTCGACTACCCCCGTCCCCCCCCCACCAGGTGTGCAGGCGGCAGCTACAGCTGTGTCCGGAGATGGAATACGCAATGTGCCTGCTGTGCACACAAATCCCCTCATCTGTACTTTCCATTCTCCTCCCCCCGTCCCTTTCCCCTGCCCTTCCTCCCCGTTTCCTCCCCCTGTCCCCCCCCCCCCCCCTCCCCGCCCTCTCCCCTCTTCGAATTCCCCCGTCCCCCCCCACCAGGTGTGCAGGCGGCAGCTACAGCAGTCCCCGGAGATGGAGTACGCAATGTGCCTGCTGCGCACACAAATCCCCTCATCTCTACTTCCAATTCTCCTCTCCCCGTCCCTTTCCCCTGCCCTTCCTCCCCGTCCTCTCCCCCCTTCGACTTCCCCCGTCCCCCCCCACCAGGTGTGCAGGCGGCAGCTGCAGCAGTGTCCGGAGATGGAATACGCAATGTGTCTGCTGCGCACCGACCTGCCCGCACAACTCAAGGTAACCTCGCTCGCTTTGCTGTGAGAGTTGTGAAGAATAACCAACCGTCCCACCATTCGAGGGACGGGGTTTTTTGTTGTTGGAAGAGAAAAGGGGGCGGTTGGGGGGGTGGCTGGATTTTTTGCCATCATTGTTGGCCCCCGCTGGTTGGAAAATTATTGGGGGGTCACAATAATGTTGGCCATGGTTGAGCCAAGATTATGAAGGGGTCGAATAATCTCCTAACCCAACTTTAAGGGCCAAATTATTGGACCAAGGCTGAATTCTTAACTCCCAATTAGGGTTAGCCCTATTTGTGCACCCAAACCAAGTTTGGGTGCCTATTTCTACCCAAGTTTATAGAACAGATGTAGGGTACAAGGAGAAGTATTATCCAAAGTCAACCCCCTGGTACCGCACAGTCCCTCACTGTACTTCACGCCGGCCCATAGTCCCTCATGGTGATGTGAGAATCCCATAGTTAGGATTAGGGGGTGAACTCAAGAGTTGGTATATTGATAAAGAAGAGCAGTACAAATAGGGAATGGGAAGAGTGACCAAAATCAGAGTTACCCCACACCATTATTGGTTGACCAATGTGGTGAGGGTCCAGCCCAATAATTGAGGTTGAGTCAATTATTGGAGGGGCCAAACATTGGAGGGGTTGGCCACCAATGTTGGCTCCCCAACAATAATGGTCGCCTGGGTTGTGGAAACCCAACCAAAAGTTGGGAGACCACCTCAATGTGTACACCCATGATTTGGGTGTACACTATTAGTTCTAGCCATATACATGCTATATTCTAACACAACCCCTTAGCATGAGAATGGCTAGACCAAACAACCCCTGAAGCGAGGACCCGGTAATAGATGCGGCGAATGACGCGGCATGCCAGCTGAAGGTGCTGTGACGGTGAGGTCGCACACCAGCAGGGAGGGGGGGGCTGCTGCAGGTGAGGAAGCAAGCCAGCCGAAGGTGCTGCGGCGGTGAGGTCGCACACCAGCAGGGAGGGGGGGGCTGCTGCAGGTGAGGAAGCAAGCCAGCCGAAGGTGCTGTGGCGGTGAGGTCGCACACCAGCAGGGAGGGGGGGGCTGCTGCAGGTGAGGAAGCAAGCCAGCCGAAGGTGCTGTGGCGGTGAGGTCGCACACCAGCAGGGAGGGGGGGGGGCTGCTGCAGGTGAGGAAGCAAGCCAGCCGAAGGTGCTGTGGCGGTGAGGTTGCACACCAGCAGGGAGGGGGGGGGGCTGCTGCAGGTGAGGAAGCAAGCCAGCCGAAGGTGCTGTGGCGGTGAGGTCGCACACCAGCAGGGAGGGGGGGCTGCTGCAGGTGAGGAAGCAAGCCAGCCGAAGGTGCTGTGGCGGTGAGGTCGCACACCAGCAGGGAGGGGGGGCTGCTGCAGGTGAGGAAGCAAGCCAGCCGAAGGTGCTGTGGCGGTGAGGTTGCACACCAGCAGGGAGGGGGGGGGGCTGCTGCAGGTGAGGAAGCAAGCCAGCCGAAGGTGCTGTGGCGGTGAGGTCGCACACCAGCAGGGAGGGGGGGCTGCTGCAGGTGAGGAAGCAAGCCAGCCGAAGGTGCTGTGGCGGTGAGGTCGCACACCAGCAGGGAGGGGGGGCTGCTGCAGGTGAGGAAGCAAGCCAGCCGAAGGTGCTGTGGCGGTGAGGTCGCACACCAGCAGGGAGGGGGGGGGCTGCTGCAGGTGAGGAAGCAAGCCAGCCGAAGGTGCTGTGGCGGTGAGGTCGCACACCAGCAGGGAGGGGGGGCTGCTGCAGGTGAGGAAGCAAGCCAGCCGAAGGTGCTGTGGCGGTGAGGTCGCACACCAGCAGGGAGGGGGGGCTGCTGCATGCAGGTGAGGAAGCAAGCCAGCCGAAGGTGCTGTGGCGGTGAGGTCGCACACCAGCAGGGAGGGGGGGCTGCTGCAGGTGAGGAAGCAAGCCAGCCGAAGGTGCTGTGGCGGTGAGGTTGCACACCAGCAGGGAGGGGGGGGCTGCTACAGGTGAGGAAGCAAGCCAGCCGAAGGTGCTGTGGCGGTGAGGTCGCACACCAGCAGGGAGGGGGGGGCAGTTGCAGGTGAGGAAGCAAGCCAGCCGAAGGTGCTGTGGCGGTGAGGTCGCACACCAGCAGGGAGGGGGGGCTGCTGCAGGTGAGGAAGCAAGCCAGCCGAAGGTGCTGTGGCGGTGAGGTCGCACACCAGCAGGGAGGGGGGGGGCTGCTGCAGGTGAGGAAGCAAGCCAGCCGAAGGTGCTGTGGCGGTGAGGTCGCACACCAGCAGGGAGGGGGGGGGCTGCTGCAGGTGAGGAAGCAAGCCAGCCGAAGGTGCTGTGGCGGTGAGGTCGCACACCAGCAGGGAGGGGGGGCTGCTGCAGGTGAGGAAGCAAGCCAGCCGAAGGTGCTGTGGCGGTGAGGTCGCACACCAGCAGGGAGGGGGGGCTGCTGCAGGTGAGGAAGCAAGCCAGCCGAAGGTGCTGTGGCGGTGAGGTCGCACACCAGCAGGGAGGGGGGGCTGCTACAGGTGAGGAAGCAAGCCAGCCGAAGGTGCTGTGGCAGTGAGGTCGCACACCAGCAGGGAGGGGGGGCTGCTACAGGTGGCGAAGGGAGACGGCGGCGGCAGCGGGAGGTGGCAGAGCAGGCCACTACGAGGTGGGGTAGGAAGCGTTGGCGACCACGAGATGGCAGGGCGGTGAAATGGCCGTGGCAGCGGGAGAGCCGCGGCGGCAAAGGGAACGGCGGCGGTAGCGGGAGAGCTGCGGCGGCAAAGGGAGGAGGGCTGGGAGGCCCGTAGGAGGAGGAAGCGAGGGGGAAGGGGGAGGAGGGCTGGATGGCCCGAAGGAGGAGGAAGCGAGGGGGAAGGGGGAGGAGGGCTGGAAGGCCCGAAGGAGGAGGAAGCGAGGGGGAAGGGGGAGGAGGGCTGGATGGCCCGAAGGAGGAGGAAGCGAGGGGGAAGGGGGAGGAGGGCTGGATGGCCCGAAGGAGGAGGAAGCGAGGGGGAAGGGGGAGGAGGGCTGGATGGCCCGAAGGAGGAGGAAGCGAGGGGGAAGGGGGAGGAGGGCTGGATGGCCCGAAGGAGGAGGAAGCGAGGGGGAAGGGGGAGGAGGGCTGGATGGCCCGAAGGAGGAGGAAGCGAGGGGGAAGGGGGAGGAGGGCTGGATGGCCCGAAGGAGGAGGAAGCGAGGGGGAAGGGGGAGGAAGGCTGGATGGACCGAAGGAGGAGGAAGCGAGGGGAGGTGGGTTGGATGGCCCTTAGAAGGGGGGCGGAAGCGTGGTGACGATGCGAATGAATGCGCTGACGGGCGAAATGCCCTCGGGAGCGGGATTGACGGGCGGAATACCCTTGGGAGCGGGATTGAGGGTCGAAATGCCCTCGGGAGCGGGACGGGCGGAATGCCCTCGGAAGCGGAATCGACGGGCGAAGTGGTAGGCGCGGTCGTTGCGCGGGTCGGCGCGGACGTCCCGCTGCTCGGCGCGTTCGTCGCGCGGGTCGGCGCGTACAAGCGCCTCAAAAGCCACGGGGAAAAGCCTGAGGGAGGGGAGCAGGCTGATGGGGCAAAGACCATGAAGCTGGCAAGAGGCCGAGGATCTCCTAGGGAGGGAGAAGGTGGCGTTAGCCAAAATAGCTCTATACCATGTGAGAATCCCATAGTTGGGATTAGGGGGTGAACTCAAGAGTTGGTATATTGATAAAGAAGAGCAGTACAAATAGGGAATGGGAAGAGTGACCAAAATCAGAGTTACCCCACACCATTATTGGTTGACCAATGTGGTGAGGGTCCAGCCCAATAATTGAGGTTGAGTCAATTATTGGAGGGGCCAAACATTGGAGGGGTTGGCCACCAATGTTGGCTCCCCAACAATAATGGTCGCCTGGGTTGTGGAAACCCAACCAAAAGTTGGGAGACCACCTCAATGTGTACACCCATGATTTGGGTGTACACTATTAGTTCTAGCCATATACATGCTATATTCTAACAGGTGACTCACGGTACTTCCAGCCTCATGCTTCAAAGATGCAAGGTGCTTGAATTCCGTGTTTAAACGGCATCCACCCATTCTACGGTCACAAAATGTCTTACACTCTCCTAAGAGTCTAACAGCTTCCCTCCCAGTCCGCGTGCAATTTAGCCTTGCATGCACTCATCCCTCCTGTGTGCATGTGCTTGTGCATGCGTGTGTGTGTGTGCTTGTCCATGCGTGTGTGTGTGTGTGTCCATGTGCATGTTTGTGTCTGTATATGTGTGTGTTTGTGTTTGTATGTGCATGTGTGCGTGCGTGCGTGCGTACGTGTGTGCGTGCGTGCGTGCGCGTGTGTGTGCGTGCGTGCGTGCGTATGCTTGCATCTCATCTCCTGTGCATTCATGCATGCATGGGGCCATGCCATGCCATGCCATGCCAGGAGGTGAGCGAGGAAGAGATGGAGGAGCTAGTGTGCAAGGCCATGCGGGTGGACCTACCTTTTGAGAGCCTGCTGCGACTCGAAGCAGGTCAGCTATTTTGAACTCACTTCTGAGAATTCTCAAGAGCGAGGAGGAGATGGAGGAGCTAATATGCAAGGCCATGCGGGTGGACTTGCCCTTTGAGAGCCTGCTGCGACTCGAAGCAGGTCCCTGCTGCTGCCCACTCCCCACATCGTGCTGCCACTGAACACGCATCCAACCAAGCGCAGTCCCTTCCTCTCCACCTGCATCCGCCTCTCTTGCCCTCCCTATCCCCGTTCATGCCTCAGCCTGTATTACCACTACCTCCACTCTTCCCCTCCCCCTCAACCCCCCTCCTTTTCCTTTCTCTTCTTCCCTTAAGCGCTCTCTCATTTCTCATGCTTCTCATGCAGTCCCTTCCTTTCCCCTGCCCGGCCCCGGTCCCCCCGACCGTGTCATCCAGAGTACGACCTCCTGGCGGGGGAGGCAGCAGCGGCGGCAAGGGACATGCAGGCAGCAGCAGCAGAGGCGACAAGCCAACCCTTCTCATCCCTGTTGACCCACCTTTCCACCCCTCGCCCATGTGCCTCCGTGCAGAGTACGATTTGCTGGCGGGGGAGGCAGCAGCAGCAGAAGCGACAGGCCAACCCTTCTCATCCCTGTTGAAGTACCTTTCCACCCCTCGCCCATGTGCCTCCGTGCAGAGTACGACCTGCTGGCGGGGGAGGCAGCAGCGGCGGCGAGGGACGTGCAGGCAGCAGCCGAGGCCAGTGAGGCGGCAGCCCTCTCGTGGGCGGCTAACCGGCAGCAGCTGGAGGCACGACTCCGCCATGCCACACTCGTGCGTATTTTTTAGTCGACTCAGAAAAACCACTCAGCCATACCACGCTTGTGCGTGCTGCCTGCCAGGAGAGGGGGAAAAGGGACGGGGAGGGGGGGAGGGAGGTTGAGGGAGACGGAGAGAGTGGATGGTTGATTGTGAGCGCATTGTTATTTCTTTCCACAGACCATTCAAGTGCTAGCATGCTCTCCTGCTGTGCTCGCATGCTCTCCTGCTGTGCTCAAATGCTCTCCTGCTGTGCTCGCTTGCTCTCCTGCTGTGCTCGCTTGCTCTCCTGCTCTTCTCTCAATGTTTCCATCCATCTCATTCACCCATGCATACCCTTCCTTTCCCCGTGCCACTCTCCTCCCTCCCCCCCAACTCTCCTCACCACTGCAGGCACTGCAGCAGGGCGAGCGCCTGGCAGCCCACATCACAGCCGCACTGGCCCTCTCCGACTCTGCCCGCCACTCGTCCTCCCACCCTTCCCCGTTCTCACCACCATCACCACCTGCCCATGCCAAGCCTCACACTTGTTCACCCACCTTAAGCCGCCATGCCTCCGCCTCTCATGCGGGCTGTGCTGTGCATGCTGCCTTGCACATGGGTAATGGTGTGGGCAGACCTGGACCCTCAGAGAGCAGGCATGAGCCCTGGGTCACAAGGGACCGCAGTGGAGGGGGGATGCGGATTGGCCGCGCTGGAGAGGGCGGCTGTTTGCTGGTGAATGGCAGTGGGGCGAGGGGGCTTGAAGGTTCAAGAGCTGAACACTTGAATGGAGGGCCGAGCACCGAGGAGGGACGGCGGCCCTTGGAGGGCGGAGAGGGAGAGGAGAGGGTGTGTGAGGAGGGAGTGTTTGAGGAGGAGGGAGTGCGTGAGGAGGAGGGAGTGTGTGCGGAGGAGGGAGCATGTGAGGAGGACCTACCATTGGAGGAGAGAGTGCAGCTGTGGGGGGAGCGGGTGGCAGTGGTGGGAGGAGGGAAGAGCATGGTGGAAGCGCTAAGAGCAGTGAGAGCAGCGCAGCACGAGTGGGTGCAGGTGGGGCTGGCGCTGGCACTGGCGGAGCGCGAAGTGGCGTGCCGCCTCGACATGGGCGCTCCACCGCCGCCCACCGAATCCTCTTTTGAGTCGACTCACAATCGCCTCGACATGGGTGCGCCGCCCACCTCCCGCCTCGACATGGGCGCGCCGCCGCTGCCCAGTGACTCTTCTTTTGAGTCGACTCAAATGTGCCGGGACATGTGCACGCCACCCAGTGACTCTTCAGCCGCGCTGGGAGCTCTCATGGGAGGAGGGGCGCGTGAGTTGGTGGTAGTGGAGGAGGTGGAGGGCTGTGTGGGGGAGAATGGAGCGCATGGGCATGGCAGCATGCGACAGTATGATGGAGTGAAGAGATTATGAGTCATGTCATGGCTGCGTGTCGTTGGGATTGCGTGACCTCACCAGGCTTGAGGCTTCGTTGTATTATTGCTACACTACACCCTTGTAATTCCACAATTACAGCAACTGGGGTAAGGGGGTTTGTCGATGTGCACTACCAGTAACTTGGGATGCAAGATTTGTCCACACTGTTACGATATGGAATTGATGTTTAACAATCCTGTAGCACGGTAACGAAACCCTAACACAAAGATGACTGCAATGAGGACGAAGACCGGGCGACACAAACAGTTATCGAAGACGGTTGAAAGCAAGGAAAATTCAGAGTGCAAGCGCGGAGAAATGCCTAAAACAGTTACTACTACGGTATTGTCCGTGCAGGGTTTTTGCAGCTTTGTTTAGGTACATCTCTTATAGCAAACACACACCCCTGCTAGATACTCCACCTCAAGTGCTAGGCCTTCACTTTTGTTATCATGTACATTCATTTTGTCACAGCCGCGCTGTGTTGTTTCTGACCACTCTCCTCCAGGTGCTAGTCTATACAGGTGCTTACGGTACGACACGTGGCCTGCTTGGATTACCAAGAGTGTGGTGGATTGCAGTTCAAGACAAACAAAAAAGCCAAGACACTCAGGGCAGCACGCAAAGACTAGTACGGCAACTCAAAAGCCAATCCCTCTAAAGGAACTACAGTAAAACCAGTTCCCATGGTACAACAAGCTGACTTTTGAGTCGACTCAAAAGTCTACGGTAGAACCAGTCCCCATGGCACAACAGACCAGCAACTCAAAATGTCATTCCTAGTGCACACACTAAACGGCTCAACGCTCAAGCCAACCGTCAGCCAAATTGGTTCCTGGCCTACGTGCAACCGCATGCAGTTGCTTCCACCTCTGTTCCATCACCATCAGCCCCCACCAAGACGTGCCTGTAACGCTGCAAGGCGGTGCCTTCTTGGTGTGCACTTGTTGTTCACCATTTGGAACCCCTCCCTGCACTGACACACCGACTTTCCTCCCACCACCTTGCACTGGGCATTAGCAGTGCAGGCAGGCTGGCACTTGGCTGGCATGGTTGAGAGGTGGGGGGTGGAGGGAAGGGGAAAGAGCACGAGGCTGAGTCGGGCAGCAGGTGGGGAAAATGCGAGCGAATGGCTTGGAAGGAGGGGGGGCATGATGATGACACAGAAGCACCACAAGCACTCCAACGCGAGAAGGACCTAGCTAATTCATCCTTGTTGAAAAGCACGCAACAAACAACAAGGCACGTACGAGGAGGAGCAGCGTGGCAGAGCTTCTTGGCAGCGTTGAACACGAGGCCCTCGGGGCACTGGCACTGCCACTGGCCCTCCTTCTGAACGCACTCAGCAGTTCCACAATCATTCTCACACATGGCTGTTGTGGGCACCACATAGGGTCAAACAATTCATCATGTAGAGAAAGGGGTTAGCTTTTCGAGCGTAGGGAAGCAAAAAGAAGACTCTCAAAGAAGAGGTTCGGTGTGTGTCTCGCTGCCTCTTGGGTATCTCTCTCCCGTGTCATTGATTAGCATGCTTAGAAACCTTAGTAGTACGTCCATGCGCCCGCACTTACTGATCTTGCAAGCAACTGATCCCAGGGATTTGATTCCTTTGACAGTCCTGAGGGAGTGAGAGGCAAGGACGGGGACAAGTTACGACAGTTGGTCCATTCACGCCACAATGATCAAGCGAATTCTGGAGGAATTAAGCGCAACGGAACACTCACACACCTTGTCGTGAGGGGGTAGAAATTGCCCTCCCTCGCAGGGCGCGCGATTGTAAAGGCCGGCTTCTTCGTGCAGTCCGGGGCGGAGTAGAACGTCAGGCTGCTGCACATGGCGTTGTTAGCCGCGACGCACAGGCTTGGTGAGCCTATATGCCATGCACAGGGCTTGGAGGCATTCCACGAGACGGCGATGTTGGTAACTGGGAGGCCCAGCCTGCCGCACACGGTGGTTGCCGGCAAAGTGGTCAAGAAGGTCAGGTCTGCCATGGGGCCGTAGCCTCTTGCCTGTAGCCCCACCGTCGTCCGCACCACGGGGGCTGACCGGCCGTTGACACCGACGAGACCGTTGATTGATGCGATGGTTGGTGCGCCGAGTTGGAGGCAGGGCAGGGGGAAAGAGAGGAAGGGTCAGACAGGGGGAACGCGCGGGAGGAGTGAGGAGGGGTGAACGTTTCAAGCGAAGCCTCGCAGTGACTGTTGACATGGTGAAATGCTGAGATGCTAAAGTGCGAGTGACTCAAGAAATGTAGTGTCTACAGTTCACCAGTGATGCACTCACCACCAGTGCTGCACTCACCACCAGTGATGCACTCACCACCAGTGATGCACTCACCACCAGTGATGCACTCACCACCAGTGATGCACTCACCACCAGTGATGCACTCACCACTAGTGATGCACTCACCACCAGTGATGCACTCACCACCAATGATGCACTCACCACCAGTGATGCACTCACCACCAGTGATGCACTCACCATAGCAGGTCTTGTCAGCCTCATTCCAAACGTCGCCGAAAGCTCACCAGAGCAGCACTCTCACACACACCCCTAAGAACTCACCATAGCACGTCTTGTCAGCCTCGTTAAAGACAAGATCTTCCTGGTGACAGTCGCAAAAGGTTTCGGTAGGACTGAGACCAGCGCAGGAAGCCTCCACCCCACAGTCCACGCCAGCACAAGGGTCTGCAGAGCAAGTCATGGGGGTTTTCCGAGGTGAAGCAGTGTAAGTGGGTTTCATGAGTGAAAACTCGCCACACACGCACACTCGCCAACAACCACACACCCACCCACCCACACACCAGCACTCACCCACACACCAGCACTCACCCACACACCAGCACTCACTCACCCACACACCAGCACTCACCCACACACCAGCACTCACCCACACACCAGCACTCACCCACACACCAGCACTCACCCACACACCAGCACTCACTCACCCACACACCAGCACTCACCCACACACCAGCACTCACCCACACACCAGCACTCACCCACGCACTTCTTGCTGCGTCGAATTCTAAACCATCCTTGCACACGCACTCGGCAAAGAAGTTCAAAGGGTCTGCATCAACAGAGCAGAAGCCTTCCCCACAGTCCAGTTTGGCACACAAGAAGCGCAGGTCTGCACAGAAATTGTGATTGTTTCAAGTAGGGGCAACGGGGCACACACACCAGCACAGAGGCCACGTAAGGAAAGGGAGTTAAAACAAGATAGATTTTGTTTATGATTGTGCACGCGCCCCACACTCACATGCCAGCGCTACAAGCTACTGCCAGTGGTGTGTGACAGTCAGCCTAGTCACCATCAGCATACCCACACCACACTCACACGCACAATCTCCCACACACGCACACTCACCCACACACGCACACTCACCCGCGCAAGTCTTGTTGTCTTCCATGAAATAAAAGCCAGGGTCGCACCAGCAATCCAAGTGGCCATGACATGACGACCCACGCTGCGGCACTTAGCAACGTCCCCACAATCGTTGTCGCTGGTACACGAGTCTGCACAGAAGCCGTGGATTGTTTCAACATGGGGGAAAACAGGAGCACGCACAATACAGAATCAAAATAGCCCATGTTTGTTTGCCATGAGGGGAAAGGAAGTTGACTTCGGGAATTCTCTTGTTAGAACAGGCGAAAGATTATGTTTATTATTGTGCACTCACCCACAGTCCACTCCCAGCGGTGTGTCGCAGTAAGCTTATACTCACCACCAACAGCGGCGCTGGCGTGGGTCGCGAGGAAACAGATGACAACGAGACCCGCGACGAGTGCCGTAGGAAGGCCGAGGCGAGACAGGCGAGCGCAGGGATTCATGGCGACGGGAGTCGTCGCGGGAAACAGGAAGGCGGGGAGGCGCGGATGGTGATGACAGCGGAATGGCGAGAAGCTTCAGATCAGAGTTGAACCGCCCGGGACTCACGCCGCTGGTAGCCGCGACGAGGTGGATAGGGTGGGACCTCCGTGAATGAAATTGTTGGTAGTGAGAACGTGCGACTGAGAAGGTGCGACTGAGAAGGTGCAACTGAGAACGACTAGTAAGAAGAAGAACGTGACGAATACTTGCAATGGGCGAGGAGCGGTGGGAGAATGCGATTGAGCCCTCGTGAACGTCTGTCTCGATCAATGTGTTGAGAGCTAGTGGTCAATCGCACATTCTAGTATAATATTCCTAGTGGTATTTTATTCGCGGATCCTGTAGCAGATCGTTCCGCGGAAGGAGGAAGCGAGTTCCTTCCCTCCAGGGGAAACCCTGCCGAGACCCGGAAACAGCGATGGTCGATCTTAGCTCAAGACGGCGATGGTGCTGAATCAGCGCGAAGGAGCCGATGAGGGGTGTTGCGACTGTCGTCATGATGCGCACAAGGGGAGGAACGCGAATGGATGAACGAGGAGCGGCGATGACGGGAGAAAAGCGTTGGGTATTCGGCGCTCAGCGTGCAGCTAGTGAACGCGATCCAAACTCTCGCGGCGTAGTGCAATGAAAGAGAAGGTTCCGCCTCTTGAACCAGCAGACCGATCGAGGACGCCAGGGTTGGCGTGAATTGCGGCATGGGGTGAAAGACGTTCTCGTTAGTACCAAACCGTCACCAAGTTTCAACTCTCCATCTCTTTTCAAACTTATTGTTAGCTTTGTAGTGTACCATGAATTACCTTACATGCTTGCTGGAATGTTGTACCATATATGCCCAGGTTGTTGCTGAGTCAGGTTTTTTGTTTTGACATTATATTGTTGAGTTGCACTGTTTCTATTGAATCTGGTTGCCTTTGCTTGCAGCGGAGCTACTTTTTAAGGTGTACTGCATGTCTCGCGACCAGGGCTATTGCTAGGATTTTTGCTAGCTCGGACGATCCGGGCCCCTGTGAAAAAGACCCTGTAAATTACGAGCCAGCGGGAAAAAAGCCTTCACAAATCCGGGTTCGAGCCAGAAAAGGCCTGAAAGCCTACCTTACCAGAATCTCGCGGGATGGGGCTATGATCGTAAAACTCACAGTGGGTGAGAGACTCACTGTGAGTTTTACGAAGGCTGGGAAGGTTGGCCATTAAGAAGCGACGCTAGAGGGGGGAGAGAGACTTTCTGTATACTTAGAAATATCTATACGTGGAGGAGTGCTAATAGCCACCTCAACGTAGTACCGGAAGTCAAACACCAGGAGGCCAAACCAGGAGCGAATGCTAAGGAAAATTCACTGAAAGTGGCCTATGCGTTGTACACGGGGAGAGGGAGGGGATGCGAGGCAGGTCGGGGACGATAAGTGTTCTAAAACTATCCGGGTCCCCTTGAAAACATTCCTGAGAATACCGAGTGGTCTCAAAATAATCCTTCAGTTTTACGGGCTGGTCCATAAATTACCTTGCGAAAATCAGGGTTGCTGTGAAAAAAACCTTATAATTTCAGTCAAAACAGGGTAATTGCCCTGATAACTTAGGCCCTGCTCGCGACAATAATTCTCTGCCACAAAGCCCCGCAAATTACGGTACTTCATCTGATCAAGTCCACTGTTCCCCAATTATTGGTGCCTCTTGTTTTAACCGTGATGAAACGCTTTGCAAAATTTCAAACCGAGAATTACTTTCTGGTTCCCGTTCTGAACCCCACATTCTGACAATGTGTCAGAAATCACAATTACCTTGGCAGGCTGAGCGCGACTCCGGCTGAGATATTCTGTCGCTACTTCTTCCATTCCCTTCCCTCCCATCCCGATTCTTTCATCCATAAATTCACTAAAGAATTCACTCAACTTCGCACTCTCTAATCACTGAACGATTTTCCAACCCCGCGATCTCGACCCTTCATCCGTCTTCCTTTGCGCAGCTAACGGAACAATAGTTGCATGGAGTCGTTTCACTGCAATAGTAGAGGGTGTGCACCGTCGCCAGCGACACCAGCAGCTCGTACAAGATTCCCTAGCTCGTGGTGTGGGCATCTGCTGTCGTGCATTGAGCGGCTATATTTGCGACAGCTAAAGCGACGGCCACCTGAAGCGACACCAGCAGAAAAGACGCGCCCAGTAACCGGAGAAGAAAGCGCACAGCTTCTCGCTGGCATTGCGTGCCTCTCCATCTCGTCTCCTGTCCGACTCGCGCCGTCGAGCTCCTTTCTTCCAGATTGCTCCTTTCTCAAGAGCCAGCGTTCGCAACCGCGGGGCTTTGCCGCTGCGACTAGCACCAGCGAGGTGGCCCGCGGAACGTCTCGGCCCGTCAACTCGGACGCGAAAGAACCGAAGCCGCTTCGCCGTTGCGTGTGATTGGTGCTGATCCCCGCCTCCCCGTTTCCCGTCTTTCCGTTTCCCCCGGCGGCCGTCTCCTCTCCTGTCGCGATGGAGCGCTACGGGCTTCGCTCCGGCGTTTCTCGCCTCGGCCTCTCCGCCCTCGTCGCGGGTCTCGTTGCCATCAGCTTCCTCGCGACCCACGCCAACGCTGCTTTTGCTGGTGAGTAGGCTGACTGATGATGGTGAGTAGGCTGACTGATGATGGTGGAACACCACGGCATGGCACCACCATGGCAACCCCAAAGGGTGCTCACTCGTGCTTCCCACTCTCTTCCGCCTTCATGCCTACGACCGTCGTCTTTCCCGCTTCTTTATGCGTCTTCCCCCCTGTTTCTCACGTATCATCTGGGTTGCTGTGTGATGAGCAACGACGTAACTAGTGACCCTTTCGTTTTTCTCAACCCCCCTTGCCCTGCTTTTCTGCTGCCCTGCTGCCTTTCGTTCCGAACGTGCGTGCGTGAATTCGTGCAGCAAACGCGTGCGCGCGCGTCAAATGCGGGTCCAAGGCCTCCTGCACTTTCAATCGTGATGGCACTCCCTACTGCTTGTGCAACGATGGTACTCTTAACTTCAACGAAACAGACAAGACGTGCTACAGTGAGTGGTGGCGAGCGATTGAGTGCAGTTGAGTGTGGCATCGCCTGACTGACTGAGTAAAATTAGTTAGCTTTCCTCTCACGCATTCAGAAGTGCCTCTCTAAGGACGACTCAGCTGTTGCCTATCAATTTGATCGTTTTCTTTCTTCCTTCATAGCTTTCTTCATTCCACCTCTTGATCTCACGCTTAGAGTGCTCAGAGTGCGCGAGTGTGAGTGTAGATGAGTGCGTAAGGGTGGGCGAGTGAGTACAATATTTTAAACCTCTTCCCCTCCCGTATTGAACCTCCCTACAGACGCGTGTGCCAAGAAGAAGTGCGGGCCAGAAGCTGTTTGCAAGCACATGGCTCCCATTCCCAACAGCCCTGCCGAGTGCATCTGCCCCAACGGTAAAATCTACAACGACAAGGACAAGAAATGCTACGGTGAGTGGTGGAGAGGGGGTGAGTGCACGCATGAGACTCTCATGATGAGTGTGGGTGAGTGGTGGAGAGCGAGTGAGTGGTGGAGAGCGAGTGAGTGGTGGAGAGCGAGTGAGTGGTGGAGAGCGAGTGAGTGGTGGAGAGCGAGTGAGTGGTGGAGAGCGGGTGAGGGGTGGAGAGCGAGTGAGTGCACGCATGGTATGCGAGTGAGTCAAATGTGGTATCGTCTGACTGGCTGAATTTTTCTGGAGAGCTGCGCTTTTGTGCCGTCACAAGGGTTGAATGCCCAAAATAGAATCAGCTGTAGCTGTCCGAAGTGCGCTATCAACAACAGTGTGCGCATTGTGAGTGTGTCATAATGTGTGCTATCATGTATTCATCTCGTGACACAATCAACAACATGGGAGACATTTGAGAAGAGAGAGCAAGGCACACTTCCACACAATACCTGTCTTCGCCTCCCTATGCGTGAAAAGTGTTACTTTTGACTCTTTGTCTCTGCATGCCTGTGTTGTTTGTTCCTTTTTGCTGCCCGCAACAGCCACGTGTCACAAGGATTGCGGGGCTGCTCACTGCGTTGTGAAGAATGGCAAGCAGCAGTGCCAGTGCCCCGAGGGCCTCGTGTTCAACCCAGCCAAAAAGACCTGCCGCGCTGCTGCTCGTCGTAAGTGCCTTGCTGCTTGTTGCACGTTTGCCAACAAGAATGATTCTGCCGGGCAGGTTCTTGTGTATGGAATCAGAAAATGTTTCTGCCTGCGTGATGCCGCCCACGCCAAGAGGAGCGGACTGCGCACTGCTGAGCCTCCCTGCCCTGCCCATGCCCAGTTCCATGGTTGCCAACAAGAAAGATTCAGGTTCTCGTGTCTTTGCGAGTGTGACGCCGGCTACAGTCTGCCTGTCACGGTATACCATCTTTCTGTCTCATCTCACATCTTATGGTGCGGCCTTCCCTGCCCTCCATTCGCCCCCTCCCGTTGCAATTATGAACTGATTATGTTCATCATGCAGGGGCCGGTGGACAAGCGAAGAACGGGCGCCCCTAGTGACTTTTTAGTCAATAGTCACCTCATTTGCTCCCTCCCATTCCCTTCACCTCATTTGCCGCCTCCCTTTCCAACTATAAACTGATGATGTTCACTATGCAGGGGCAGGTGGACAAGTGTAAGAATGGCGACCCTAGTTGGATGGACAGGCAGCAAAGAGGAGCAAGCTGGCAATGCCAGAGGGTCGTGAGATGGCGGGGGGCTGATGGAGGTGTTAGCAACTGCATGCTGTTGCTTGGAGCCTAGGAACTACCCAGTAGGAACCAGCTTTGGCTTAATAATTGGCTGAGCTATAAGCTGTAAGCCCACAGTTGCCAGGCAAGGTTTTGCTGAAAACATGCAAAAAAGGTCATCTTGCACTGGATAGAGTCACTACCGTAATAATATCGAAATGAGGTACAGCGAAAAAAAGAAGTATGGGCTCATGGGCCGGCAGCAGCACCTGTTGTGGTGGTTGAGGCTCATGCACTTGTATCCCATCTGCCAGCTCATGCACTTGCTTCAACTGGTGTATATTTTGCCATTCGTGATTAAATGTGATGCTCGGTACCTTGGTATACACACAATCGCAGGAGAGAGTTTATATGTTAGCTTAGCCACAACAGCATTAGTTTATCATATACTGTATATCATGCTATCGTATAAACCAATTACGCTGCATAGCTTGTCTTCTCTTGTACGCGCTTCTAATCCTCATCCTCTTCCCCCTCCTCATCGTTCTCATCCAACGGTCCCAAAACACCTTTGCCACCATCTGCCTCCTCCCCATCCACAATCGGAACACCCAGAATCTCTTTAACTGCCCGGATTCCATCAGCAGAGATGTGGTTGCCGTTGATGGTTAGGAGCTTGAAAGACTCCAAATCTTTCACTGCCCGAGCAGCAGCTTCTGCACCCTTCCGGCCGAAATCATTGGTGGAAAGATCCAGCTCTTCAAGAGATCTGGCACCGTGAAAAAAAAAAAGGCGAAAAAACATGAAACCAATGGAAGCTACGGATTAGACATGAACCACCTTGCACCAGGTGAAACACGAGTCAATACTAGAGCCACTGGCAGCAGCACTCAGCACAGGGGATGCGGACCACAACCAAGAGTCTCCATTGCAGCATCGCTCATCTCATTGCCACATTGCAGCAGCTTCACTTTTGAGTCGACTCAGAAGTCAGCACTAGAGCCACTGGCAGCAGCACTCAGCACAGGGGATGCGGGCCACAAGAGTCTCCTCTCTACTGCAGCATCACCCATCTCATTGCCACACCGCACAGCAGCAGCTTCCCCAACACAACCCCTGAGTCATGCTGAGGGTGAGGGAGTCAACCCTGAAGCTACTAGAGTCAACCCCAAGGCACACCACACACACTACTTGAGTCAGAAATGATGGTCCTGAGGGTTTCTATGCCAACATCGCCCATCTCATTGCCGCACCGCACCGCACCGCACAGCACAGCACAGCACAGCACAGCACCGCACCGCACCGCACAGCACAGCACAGCACAGCACCGCACAGCACCGCACCGCGCCGTGCAGCAGAGCAGAGCAGAGCAGAGCAGAGCAGAGCAGAGCAGAGCAGAGCAGAGCAGAGCAGAGCAGAGCAGAGCAGAGCAGAGCGCAGCGCAGAGCGCAGCGCAGCGCAGCACAGCACAGCACCGCACAGCACAGCACCGCACAGCACCGCACAGCACCAGTCTCCTCAGCCCTACCCTGGTGAAGCAGCACTCACTTGAGGTGATGAGGAATTAATATCACAAGCTCAGCCACGCACCAGCTTCCTCAACACTCCTCTTAAAGCCATCCTCATACCCTAAAGCAGCACTCATCGCAGTTGGTCAGGAATGATGGCTCCCAGGGCTTCTATGCCAGCATCGCCCATCTCACAGCCTTGCCGCACAGCACCAGCTTCCTCAACCCAGCCTCAGCCCCGCCTCAACCCAGCCTCAACCCAGCCTCAACCCAGCCTCAACCCAGCCTCAACCCCGCCTCAACCCAGCCTCAACCCAGCCTCAACCCAGCCTCAACCCAGCCTCAACCCCGCCTCAACCCAGCCTCAACCCAGCCTCAACCCAGCCTCAACCCAGCCTCAACCCAGCCTCAACCCAGCCTCAACCCAGCCTCAACCCAGCCTCAACCCAGCCTCAGCTCAGCCTCAACCCAGCCTCAACCCAGCCTCAACCCAGCCTCAACCCAGCCTCAACCCAGCCTCAACCCAGCCTCAACCCAGCCTCAACCCAGCCTCAACCCAGCCTCAACCCAGCCTCAACCCAGCCTCAACCCAGCCTCAACCCAGCCTCAACCCAGCCTCAACCCCGCCTCAACCCCGCCTCAACCCCGCCTCAACCCCGCCTCAACCCAGCCTCAACCCCGCCTCAACCCAGCCTCAACCCAGCCTCAACCCAGCCTCAACCCAGCCTCAACCCACCACCATGGTGAAGCGAAGCAGCACTCACCGCAGGTGGTCAGGAATGATGGCCACGAGCGTTTCTACACCAGCATCGCCCAGCTCATTGTCGCACAGCACCAGCTTCCTCAGTGCACCCAGCGGCTTCAGACTCTCCGCCACGCGCCCCGCTCCCTCCTCTGACAGCTCATTGCCGCCCAGCTCCAGCTCCTGGTGGACAGGGGGTTGGGGGGGGTTGGGGGAAGGGTGGGGTGTGGGGGCAAGGGTGGGATGGGGGCGGCGAGGGGGGGTTTTAATGTTACATTGTGAATGACTTGAGGCTCTCCGCCACGCGCCCCGCTCCCTCCTCTGACAGCTCATTGCCCCCCAGCTCCAGCTCCTGGTGGACGGGGGGTGGAGAGGGTTGGGGAAAGGGTGGGGTGTAAGGGCAAGGGTGGAGTGTAAGGGCAAGGGTGGAGTGTAAGGGCAAGGGTGGAGTGTAAGGGCAAGGGTGGAGTGTAAGGGCAAGGGTGGAGTGTAAGGGCAAGGGTGGAGTGTAAGGGCAAGGGTGGAGTGTAAGGGCAAGGGTGGAGTGTAAGGGCAAGGGTGGAGTGTAAGGGCAAGGGTGGGGTGTAAGGGCAAGGGTGGGGTGTAAGGGCAAGGGTGGGGTGTAAGGGCAAGGGTGGGGTGTAAGGGCAAGGGTGGGGTGTAAGGGCAAGGGTGGGGTGTAAGGGCAAGGGTGGGGTGTAAGGGCAAGGGTGGGGTGTAAGGGCAAGGGTGGGGTGTAAGGGCAAGGGTGGGGTGTAAGGGCAAGGGTGGGGTGTAAGGGCAAGGGTGGGGTGTAAGGGCAAGGGTGGGGTGTAAGGGCAAGGGTGGGGTGTAAGGGCAAGGGTGGGGTGTAAGGGCAAGGGTGGGGTGTAAGGGCAAGGGTGGGGTGTAAGGGCAAGGGTGGGGTGTAAGGGCAAGGGTGGGGTGTAAGGGCAAGGGTGGGGTGTAAGGGCAAGGGTGGGGTGTAAGGGCAAGGGTGGGGTGTAAGGGCAAGGGTGGGGTGTAAGGGCAAGGGTGGGGTGTAAGGGCAAGTGTGGGGTGTAAGGGCAAGGGTGGGGTGTAAGGGCAAGGGTGGGGTGTAAGGGCAAGGGTGGGGCGTAAGGGCAAGGGTGGGGTGTAAGGCCAAGGGTGGGGTGTAAGGGCAAGGGTGGGGTGTAAGGGCAAGGGTGGGGTGTAAGGGCAAGGGTGGGGTGTAAGGGCAAGGGTGGGGTGTAAGGGCAAGGGTGGGGTGTAAGGGCAAGGGTGGGGTGTAAGGGCAAGGGTGGGGCGTAAGGGCAAGGGTGGGGTGTAAGGGCAAGGGTGGGGCGTAAGGGCAAGGGTGGGGTGTAAGGGCAAGGGTGGGGTGTAAGGGCAAGGGTGGGGTGTAAGGGCAAGGGTGGGGTGTAAGGGCAAGGGTGGGGTGTAAGGGCAAGGGTGGGGTGTAAGGGCAAGGGTGGGGTGTAAGGGCAAGGGTGGGGTGTAAGGGCAAGGGTGGGGTGTAAGGGCAAGGGTGGGGTGTAAGGGCAAGGGTGGGGTGTAAGGGCAAGGGTGGGGTGTAAGGGCAAGGGTGGGGTGTAAGGGCAAGGGTGGGGTGTAAGGGCAAGGGTGGGGTGTAAGGGCAAGGGTGGAGTGAGAGGGAAATGTTGCATCACATCAAGAATGGCTTCAGATTCTCCGCCACATGCCCCGCTCCCTCCTCTGACGGCATGTTGCCTGGGCAAGGGGTGGTGTGGAGATGGCAAGGGGTGGTGTGGAGATGGCAAGGGGCGAAGAGAGCGGGTGGGGTGGGGGCAGCGAGGGGGAAAGTTGTATCACTTCGAGAATGGCTGCTGACTCCCCGCTCCCTCCTCTGACAGCACGTTGCCTGGGTAAGGGGTGGTGTGGGGATGGGGAGGGGGCACCATTTAATTGCTTCAGACTCCCGGCTAATTGCTTCAGACTCTCTGCCTCCTGCCCTGCTCTCTGCCTCCTGCCCTGCTCTCTGCCTCCTGCCCTGCTCTCTGCCTTCTGCCATGCTCTCTCCTCCGTCCGTCAGATGGGTTCCCCCCCGCCTCTTGAAGTGAGCGACGGGGGGGTGAGGGTGGGTGGAACAGAGGGGGGGGCCACTTTATCGCACGTTGAGCGCGCAAGGCACTCTGGCACTCGCCTTGTTTTGTCAGGTGGTTCCCCCCTAGGCTGCAGCAGCTGTGGAGAGGGACAAGAAGAGAGGGACAAGAAGAGAGGGACAAGAAGAGAGGGACAAGAAGAGAGGGACAAGAAGAGAGGGACAAGAAGAGAGGGAGGGTGAGGTTTCCTGAAGGCCTAGAACAGAGTGGGTGGGGTGGAGAGGGGTAGGGTGAGCGAAGGCAAACGGGAGGGGAAGGGAGTGTGAGAGAACAATTTTGAAAAGAGGTGAAGTTATCTTCAACCCCTCACTTTGCAGCATCTGTAACTTCTAACCCTGCTCCTGCATCTGTAGCGCACCTCAAGCTAATACACCCTCCACCTTCCCGCTCCCCTCTACTCCCCACCCTCACCCCCCTACTCTCTGCAGCGCACCTCGAGCAAGCGTGTTTGACACCCCCTATCCTCTACTGGCCGAGGCTGGTGCACCGTGCAGCACACCTGGAAGCGCACCTGGAATCGCAGCACACCTCTAGCGGGGGAGGGTATTGACTGGGTCAGCCAGGCTGCTGCAGCGCACCCTACCCTCTAACTCTCACCTCTTCCACATCCACCCTGCACCCACTCCTATCAGCGCACCTCGAGCTGCGGGTTTGACTGCGCGAGGCTGCCCAAGAGCTCCGCCACCCCATCGTCGCCCAGCGCTGATGGCCGGGGGGGGGGGAGCGAGGGGATGGGGAGGGAGAAGGAAGAAAGGGGTCGGGGCAGACGTGGGAACAGGGAAGCGGGGAGGCTGCCCAAGAGCTCTGCCACTCCGTTGCCACCCAAAGCTGCGGGTCCGAGGAGGGAGACGACTTTGACACTCCGTTTTGAGACTCCTCAGCAGTCCAAGGCAAGAAGCATTCGTGACTAGACTGGGCCCACCCAACCCAGCACCCCCCTATTGCCACTCCTCGCCACTTGACCCCACACAGTCCCCCACGCATTGCCCCGAATTGCCCCCCATTGCCCCGAATTTCCCCCATTGCCCCGCATTGCGCCTACCAGTATCCCCCAGCATCAGCAGCTTCAGGTTGGGACGGTGCTGCAGGGCGGGCGGAAACCAGCGACCCAGCGCAGCTGTACCTGCGTGCTTACAGGGCGGAAGTCAGAGCCATATTACCTCCCCACTTTGCCATTCACTGCCCCGCATGGGCACTCACTCACCAGTATCCCCCAGCATCAGCTGCTTCAGGTTGGGATGGTGCTGCAGGGCGGAAACCAGCGACCCAGCGCAGCTCTACCTGCTTACAGGCCGGAAGCCAGATCAACATTACCTCCCCACTGTGCCCCTCACTGCCCTGCATGGGCACTCACCGGTGTCCCCCAGCATGAGCTGCTTCAGGTTGGGGTGGTGCTGCAGGGCCGACGCCAGCGCAGCACCCCCTTCAGGGCCAAACATGTTGTCTCTCAGATCCAGGCGCTCCAGGCTCGAGTCTGCACCATGGAATGGGATGGGATGGGATGGGATGGGATGGGATGGGATGGGATGGGATGGGATGGGATGGGATGGGATGGGAGGGAGCAAGGTGGGCGGCAGTGAACTGTGAACGGCACACCGGTATGGCAGCACAGCAACGCAGCAGCACACCGTGACTTGCTCTGCTCACAGCACCGCAACGCACTCAGGGCCAAAACACGCAACAAAATAGGGCTGCGTGTCTTGCTCTTGCCAGAGCAGCACCCTCCTTTGGGGCTGAACATGTTGGCCTTTGACTATTTTGTGTAGACCCAGTCGTAGCCCGGGTTGCTTTGAACTCGAGACATTTTGTGTCATAAGGCCCACGGAACACCACATATCAGCGGTGGGAAACATTGCGTGACTGCATATTCAGAGTTCTTAACAATATATTGAAGTATTAGAGAAGCGGTTACACCATTTGTTGTAAAAAAAAAAAAACACTCTTGTGTAAATAAAATTGTGGTAACTATTTTCAGTGTGGGAGCCTTCTTCAGACCAGAAGAAAGAAAGCGAGACCCCGAGGTTTACTTAATGACCTCGAGGGGATACAGCTTGCAATTAAGCTTGCAGGAAACCCGATGTATGATGTATCTGCAAATAAATCTGCAGTAACAAGCTACACTACGCGAACACTCACGAGCACAAACTGAATAGTTTCCAACCATGCCAGGATAGCATTCCTCCTTGTAAAGATATCGCGTGGCATTGTATCCAGGTGTGTTTCGAGTCGACTCAAAACACACACAAGTGGCTGAAGCTGTGGCTGTGATCATGGAGCAGCAAGCGCCTTGAACTTGAATAACATAAACACAAGTGACTGTAGAGCAGCAGGGGCGCATGGCACTCACTGGCAGCGATGGCATCAGCCAATGCCCTGGCGCCATCTGTCCCCACACGAGTGGACGCGAATCGAAAGTCCTTGAGGCCCCTCGCCTCCCTCACCACGTCTGCCAGAATGGCCGCACCGGGATCACCTGCACGTGATGGTGGGTATGGTGGTTGAAATGGGCAGAATACGCATTGGTGTACGGCAGAATACGCATGGTGTATGGCATGTAGCAGCAAAATCTGTCGTCATCCCCTGGCCCTCCCAACTCCCCACCCCACCTTCCCAACTCCTTGACCCCAAAGAGGTGATGCAAGTCACAGCAGGCAGGCAGGCAGGCAGGCAGCTCACCCGACATGTTGTTGAACAAGTGGAGAGTCTCGAGTGACGCCACCGCCTGCGCGGGCAGCAGCTCCCTGATGGCCGCCGCTGCTGCTGGTGCTGCATCCGTCAGGGCATCTCCAACCCGCTAACTTCCAACCCAGAGACGTTGGCTGGACCTGCAGGCAGCTCACCCGAGAGCAAGCCTCACCCGAGAGCAAGCCTCACCCGACATGTTGTTGAAGAAGTGCAGCGTCTCGAGTGACGCCACCGCCTGCGCGGGCAGAAGCTCCCTGATGGCCGCCGCTGCCTCCTTGGAGATGCCGTTGTTGCAGAAGTAGAGCTCGCGCAGGGATGGCTGCATGAGTTGGGGGGGGGAGTGGGGGGGAGAGGGGAAGGAGGGGAGAACGGGAAGAAAGGAAGGCAGGTAGAGGGTTACGACAGAGGGAGTCAGGGATTGGAGGAGTGCGAGAGAAGGAGCCTCTTTCTTGTAAAGGCACAAGGCACTCCTTGATGGCTGCTGCTGCCTCTCTGGTAATGCCGTTGTTGCTTGCACAAGTAGAGGTGCCGCAGACAGAAGGTGGGAAGGAAATGGGGGAGAAAAAAAAGGAGGGAGAGAAGGAAAGGGAAGGGAGGCGAGGATATAGAGGAAGGGGGGGGAGGGGGGGGGGGGGGGAGAGAAACCGGGGAGAGAAAGGAGGGGAGCGGAGGTAGTGTGGGCAGTAGAGAAGAGCACAAGTCAAGTTGAGTCATGGCCAAATTCATGACTTTACTTCAGCCTCAACTCAACTCTCGGATTTTATTTTTGAGAATTCTCAAAAGATTCATGACTTTAGTTCAGCCTCAACTTAACTCTCGGCTGACTGACTATTCGAATCCCGTGGCTTGAACTTCAGCCACGAGAGGTGAGGGTGTGGGTGTCTTTCCATCCAGGTCGCACCTGAGAGGTGAGCGCAACAGCAGCAGCTCTAACTCCCTTCTCGCCAAAGGCGTTGTCTGAGAGGTTGAGCCACTCGAGCTTGCAGCCTTCCAGAGCCGATGTCACCCTCGTGATCACCTGGAGTGCCTCCTCCTCCTGCTCCACCACACACACGCACGGACACACACGCACAGACACACGCGCGCGCGTGCGCGCGAGCGCACACACACACACAGAGGCACACACGCACGCACACACGCACGCACACACGGGGGCACACACACATACACACACACACACACACACACACACACACACACACACACACACACACACACCACACACACACACACAACACACACACACACACACACACAGACACACACACACACACACACACACACACACACGCACACACACACACACACACACACACACACACGGGCACAAACACAGGCGGAATGCATTGTGTGAGAGGATGAGCGGGTGGAGGTTGCAGCTCTCCAGGGCCCATGTGACCCTCGCTCTCAACCTTTCCCCTCCCCGCTTCCCTGCACCTACCAGGAGGCATTCAATGATATCGCAGAGGTCATTCCGGCACTCGCCCTCCCCCCTTCCCATTTTTTCCCCCCCCCCCCCCCCCTTTCCCATTTCCCCCCCCCCCCCTCCCCATCCCCCCCCCCTCCCCCATCCCCCCCCCCCCCCCCCCCCCCACTTTCTCATTCCCCCCTTTTCATTCCCCCTTTCCCCTTCCCCCTTCCCCTTCTCCCCATTCCTCTTCTCCCCATCCCCATTCCCCCATTCCCCTTCCCCCCTTTCCCCTTCCCCCCTTTCCCCTTCTCCCCATTCCCCTTCTCCCCATCCCCCTTCTCCCCTTTCCGCTTCCCCCCGTCGCCCTTCTCCCCTTTCCCCCCTTTCCCCCGTTTCCCCCAGTTCCCCCCTTTCCCCTCGCCCAACGTTGCTTCTTTCTTTCCACGCACGGGAAGGCTGGCGATGATGTCGCTGAGGTCAGCATGAGTCAGCGTGTCCCGCGCATTGGTCAGCGCCTGGTGCGCCACCTCAGCAGCCTCCAGCGTGAACGCCTTGCTGCTGAGCTTCACCTGTAACAGGGTAACAGGGTAACAGGATAACAGGGTAACAGGGTAAGATTGCAGCAGGATGGCAGTAACAATGTTACTGTAACATGGATAACATCATTCATATGAGTAGCGCAAGGAACAGGACAGGGAACATGTGTAATATGCATAACGTGGGTAACATGGGTACATGCGTGTTGTCAAGCCGGGTAATATGGGTGTGTGTGGCACGCGCATAGCACATTTGTTTGTAGCACGTATGGATGTAGCACGTATGGATGTAGCACGTATGGATGTAGCACGTATGGATGTAGCACGTATGGATGTAGCACGTATGGATGTAGCACGTATGGATGTAGCACGTATGGATGTAGCACGTATGGATGTAGCACGTATGGATGTAGCACGTATGGATGTAGCACGTATGGATGTAGCACGTATGGATGTAGCACGTATGGATGTAGCACGTATGGATGTAGCACGTATGGATGTAGCAGGTGTGTGGCACGTATGGGTGTGTGACGTTCGTGTGTGGAAGAGGTAGTGTGTGTAAGAGGTGAGCATGCACTGCGAGGGTTGAAAAAGAGGCACCTTTTTGCAGCCATTCTTGGGCTTCAGCAGAGGAGCAAGAAGCTTCTCCGCTGCTTCCTTGCTCAAGGCCTCCCTCTTTCCACCAGAGATGTCAAACTGCCACAAGACCAGACCAGATTGGCGAGTTGAGTGTTAACAGGCTCACAGATTGTTGAGATGTCAAACTGATTGATTGACGATATGGTTGTAGCGCGTATGGGCAGAACAGATCCAGAACGAACAGAATTGTTAAGAGGGGAATATACATAACCTCAGTGCACATGCAAGCTCAGCGCACACGCAGTCACTAGCAGATGACCTGCAGCGCCCAACCCCTCACCTGATTTCCCGATCCCGCTTCAAAGCCCCCAACTCATCTCTCTAATCCCTTTCTCCCCAACACCCTACCCCACCCTCCCTTCTACACGAATCTCAACTGAGACTCACCAACCCCAACCAAACAGGCGCTCACCTCCTCACGCACCTCCTCACGCACCTCCTCACGCACCTCCGCCGCAGGTGCAGCTGCCCCCTTGGTGCGCGCCTTCTTGAACGCCCTTCGCCCACTATGAGCTCGCTCGCGTGCCCCGAGCCGCGCACATTGAATCGAATACCCAGTCCTTTTGAGTCAACTCAAAAGCCAAAGCCCCCCCAACAGCACTCACCTCCTCAACCCCGCCTTCCACGGCAGCGCCCTCTCCCCCCGTGCTGCGCGCCTTCTTGAACGCCCTTCGTCCACCATGAGCTCGCTGGCGTGGCGCGCGTACATCATCACCAGCACCCCCCAACCCTAAGCCCCACACACCAATCCCGACCGAGAATCACCCACCCCAACCGACGCTCACCTCCTCAACCACCTCCTCCGCAGCTCCCCCCGTGCTGCGCGCCTTCTTGAAGGCGTCCACCATGAGCTCGCTCGCGTGCCGCGCGTACATCATCACCAGCGCGCTGCCCTTCACCGCCGCGCCCCCCTCCTGCGCGCGCGCCTGCGTCGCCGCGAACGCCTCCGCCTCGATGCTCTCCGCCAGGCTGCGCGCCACACCGTCGTCCACCCGCTGCGCCTGCGATCGGGGGAAGGGGGGAGGGGAGAGGGCGGAGTGAGGGGGGAGGCGCGCGGCACTGGCGCGCTGCAGCGTCGCCGCGAGCGGTTCAATGCTCTCCGCTACGCTGCGCGCCACACCGTCGTCCATCCGCTGCGGTTGGATCGAGGGAAAAGAGAGAGACGACGGCAGGGGGGAGGGGGGGGAAGGGGGGGGTGGGGAGGGTGACGGAGGGGTGAGGGGGGACGAGGGTGGCACTTGGGTGCGGCGCGCAGGTCGTGACGCCTCCGCCTCGATGCCCTTCGTCAGGCTGCGCGTCCACCCGCTGTAACTGGGATCGGGGAGGAAGGGGAAGGCGGGGAGAGCGGGGAGAGCGGGAAGAGCTTCATTTTCTCCGCCAAGCAGCGCGCCACGCCGTCCACCCGATGCGACAGGGATTGGCGGGAGGAAGGAGCGAGGGGAGGGGGGGACGGGGGAAGGGCGGAGGAATAAGCGGGGGGAAGGGAGGCGCTGGCGCGCAGTGCGTAGATCGTGACGCATCCGCCAAGCTGCGCGCCGCACCGCCGTTTACCCGCTGCGACTGGGATCGGGGCGGGGGAGTAGCGAGAACAGGGGGATAAGCCGCGGGGGATTCACTTTCTGCGGATTTCAACCGCATCGCACAGCCGTCGCACGGACCTTGTCCTCGTCGCACGGACCTTGTCCTCGTCGCACGGACCTTGTCCTCGTCGCACGGACCTTGTCCTCGTCGCACGGACCTTGTCCTCGTCGCACGGACCTTGTCCTCGTCGCACGGACCTTGTCTTTGGAGAAGCAGATGCTGACGAGGTTGGTGCTGATGCGATCCACGATCTTCTGTCGCGACCCCTCGTTGAGAGGCCACAGCCCGCTCACCGCCTCCGCCACTGCATCCGCCGCCGCCATATCCTCGTTACAAGGTCACGACGCTTCAAGACGCTTCGGAGGCTTTAGCAACGCGTCTAAACGTGTAAATTCAGCTACTTTGTGAAAGGAACGATCGACACGAGAAGTCTGCACGTGATTTGAGGCAGACTCACGTATCGATCGGGTTTGCGCTGCACAACTTTGTTCCCTCCGCGTCTGGTTGGGTACTGACAAGGGGAGAGATCTGCCTTGTCCCGCCAATTTCTTCCAAGAAAAAGTTTTCGTAATAGTTGATATACAGACTTTCTTATTTAAGTATTCGATCTCTCTCATCAACAAAACAAACTCTACCGCGGCAAGAAGGTTTTCGACATTTCCCGCTACAACAAACCTACACAGGGAATGCGACCTATATAATTTTCAAAGTCGCCGATTGTGGGGATCGAACCCACGGCCACGTGGTTAAAAGCCACGCGCTCTACCGCTGAGCTAAATCGGCATGTACTTTCTAGACAAGAAAAAACCTAAATTAGAGTTGCTGTCTTTTTGACACTCGCGCGTTCCGACGTCGTCCAGGGAGGGCGCGCGGGGAAGGCGCCGCCGCGAGTGGCGGCGGTGGCTCGTCCGTGTCGCTTCAGGACGCGGATAAGAAGAGCCACCGCGCGGCGCGGTGAGGGCCGGCGGCGGAGCGCAAGGAGGAAAAAGATAAGAAAAGAAGCAGCGTGGACGGCGACGCGGGGGAACGCGAGAACCGCGAGTAAGCACCTAAGTGGCTACCTCAGGGAGACGTGCATTACTAGCTCCAACGATGTGAGGAGGAGCAGGATTATGATTGATAGAGTCTTGCGGAGTGAGGACGGACAAGAGCTCGCGAGTGCTCGCGAGTACGACGTTTTCAGCCTTAGACGAAGCTTGCAATAGACGTATGTCGGCGTAGTATGTCGCACTCTTTTGTAAGGACTTGGATTGTGGGGCCGATGTTTACTGCCGTGTGAATCTAATGGCACTCCCTATTGCTTGTGCGAGAGTGGTTATCATTACAACCGAGACGACAAGACATGTGTGGGTGAATCACGAGTGCGCGTGTGCGGGTGAGTGTGCGAGTGCGGGTGCGGGTGAGTGTGCGGGTGCGGGTGAGTTTATGTGTGCGGGTGAGTTTGTATGAGTGGTTATGACTACAACCGAGACGACAAGACACGTGTGGGTGAGTGTGCGTGTGCGGGAGAGTGTGCGTGTGTAGGTGAGTGTGCGGGTGAGTGTGTGTGTGTTCGGGGCGAGTGTGTGGATGAGTGTGTGGTTGCGAGTGAGTGTGCCAGTGCGGGTGAGTGTGCGTGTGTGGTGAGTTTGTGTGTGTGGGTGAGTTGGTGTGTGTGGGTGAGTGTGGGGTGAGTGTGTTGGTGAGAGTGCGGGTGAGTGAGTGTGCGTGTGTGAGTGAGTGTGTCTGTGTGTGAGTGAGTGTGTGTGCGGGTGAGTGTGCATGTGTGGGTGAATATGCGTGTGTGGGTGAGTGTGTGTGTGGGTGAGTGTGTGTGCAGATGAGTGTACGTGTGTGGGTGAGTGCGTGTGTGGGTTAGTGTACGTGTGTGGGTGAGTGCATGTGTGGGTGAGTGTGCGTGTGTGGGTGAGTGCGTTTGCGGGTGAGTGTGCGTGTGTGGGTGAGTGTGTGTGCCAGTGAGTGTGCGTGTGTGGGTGAGTCTGCGTGTGTGGGAGAGTGTGCGTGTGTGAGTGTGCTCACAATCATCACCAAGAGTGTGGCTCGTGTGAGCCCCTTGCCCTACCTCACTCCATTTCCACCCATGACTTTCTCTGCAGCGAAAAAGTGTGTCAAGGATTGTGGCCGCGATGCTTTTTGCATCAAACCTGGGAGCCCTTAGTGTAAATGCAACAAGGTTTTACATTCAACGAGGCTGACAAGACGTGCTTTTGTGAGCGCTGCACTGTTGGGCTGTACACGATACAGATATTCACACAAACAAATTTCACCTGCCAGCACTGAGAGGCGACACTTGGAAGCATTCCACTAGAACGTTGACTAGCTGTTTTAGTCTCCTCACTCCGCACCTTCCCTCCTGCTTGCCCCCTTCCTCTCCTGTCCCCTGTTCTGCCTCCAACTCGACCCCTTCACACCCACATCATCGTCACACAACCTTTACCGACCACGATATGGCATCGCCGCACCACTCGTTGCGTGCACTCGTTGCGTGCACTCGTTGCGTGCACTCGTTGCGTGCACTCGTTGCGTGCACTCGTTGCGTGCTCTCGTTGCGTGCACTCGTTGCGTGCTCTCATTGCGTGCTCTCGTTGCGTGCACACGTTGCATGCACTCGTTGCGTGCACTCGTTGCGTGCACGCGTTGCGTGCACTCGTTGCGTGCACTCGTTGCGTGCACTCGTTGCGTGCTCTCGTTGCGTGCACTCGTTGCGTGCACTCGTTGCGTGCACGCGTTGCGTGCACTCGTTGCGTACACTCATTGCGTGCACTCGTTGCGTGCTCTCGTTGCGTGCACTCGTTGCGTGCACGCGTTGCGTGCACTCTTGCGTGCACTCGTTGCGTGCACTCGTTGCGTGCACTCGTTGCGTGCTCTCGCTGCGTGCACTCGTTGCGTGCACTCGTTGCGTGCTCTCGTTGCGTGCACTCGTTGCGTGCACTCGTTGCGTGCTCTCGTTGCGTGCACTCGTTGCATGCACGGTGTGATGAACGGGCGCTCACAATCTGTACCACGATACGGCATCGCTGCACCACTCGTTGCGTGCACAATTTGCGTGAGCGGGCGCTCAGACCCCGAGGTGCACACAATTTGTGTGAGCGGGCGCTCATCTTGGGTCTCCCCTGTCCTTACCTCTCCCTGTCTCAGGACTATCAATTCGCCGCAATTAGTTTCGTCCGAGATCAGTAAGTGCGTGCGAACAAGCGTGTCACATGCATACAAGCACAGTAACATGTGTTTCTCTCATTTGTCAGAGGTCCACTGGGGATCCCCGATGATCCTAGGGAAGGGTTACAGGCACGTCGGCCTGGGGGGTTATGGGCGCACTCACCCGCTATATAAACAAGCCCTTTTATCTCAGTGGTTAGTGGCTGGGATTCTGACATGGTATCAGAGCGAAGGTCTCGGGTTCGATTCCCGGTGTGTGCACCTCGGGCATCCCAGTGCGGGGGGGTGTCAGTAATAACGGACTGGAATGATGAACTAGCAAGGATTGTGGAAACAAATATGAAACCCTAGTGTTGTGACCCCCTATAGGCTAACCCACTACAGCCTACACAAATACAACATGTATAATGTTTGACACACCCCCATAGGCAAAGTGGGGGAGACCTAGGGGTCACAAGACCAGTCAAGGCAAAGCAAGGCAACAACAAGCTCAGGGTGGATCTCAAGGATTCCACACAAATTCCGAGCACAAGCTAGTGGTCACAAGACCAGTTCACATGCAGGTTTATAACAGAGCAAGAGATACAGTGATCACAACCTAGCAAGAGTAAACATGCAGGTATAGATATATATAGTGATCACAGTACAAGCAAAGTCAAGAGGTAAGTAAGTGAGGTCCAGTAGGCACAAGGCCTAGTAGAGTGCAAAAGCGCTGATGGTCACGAGGCTGAAGTGCCTTGGTGAACACATCAGCAGTGTTGGCCTCAGTGGCCACGTAGCGAATACAAAGCTGACCGCGCTGCTGCAGCTCACGAGCAAGGAAGTACCGCAGGGCGATGTGCTTCGTTCTGTGCTCCAGTCTGTGCTCCTCACACAAGGCAATGGCAGCCTTGTTGTCGACGTACAGTACTGGAGGAGAACGAGGCGGCTCTCCGAGGTCGGTCAGCAGGTAGGTCAGCCAGCGTAGCTCCTGGGCAGCCATGGCTGTAGCGTAGATCTCAGCCTCGCAACTGGAGCCGAGAACAGAAGAAGAGCGTGTAGAGCGCCAAGAAACTGAACCAGAGCCAAGGCTGAAGGTGTAACCCTGAGACGACCGCTGAGTGGCCTGGTCGTCTGCCCAAGAAGCGTCTGAGTGCCCTGTGAGAACAACTCGGTCTCGCCCTCCAAGTACAAGCCCCATGCCCGACGTACTGCACAAGTAGCGCAACACCCTCTTAGCGGCATCCATGTGCTCCTTCCTGTGACGGCCAGGAGCGACATAGCGTGCAAGGATGCTAAGAGGGTATGCAAGGTCAGGTCGAGTGCAGGTCATCAGGTACATGAGGCAGCCCACAAGCTCTGGATACGGGCCACTCGGCTCTACGGACTCATCCGAAGGCAGAGCTGAGAGCGAGTGACCGGTAGGCAGAGGAGTGGACTGAGGCGAGGAGTACGTGAAGCGGAAGCGCTGGAGAACCTGCTGCACCATGTGTGACTGAGTCAGGGTGATGGTGCGCCGTGCTCTGTCCCGGGTGATCCGCAAGCCAAGATAGCTTGTCAGCTCACCCAGGTCTGTGCACGTGTGTCTCCTCTGCAGCTCCGACTTCACGTGGGCGAGTCCTGCAGTGTCAGCAGTGGCAAAGACCAAGTCGTCGACGTACACGAGGATGTAGAACGGCGGCAGCGAAGTGTCGGTGCGCAGGAACAGCGACGGATCAGTTGTAGAAGGCGCGAACCCAAGAGCCGCAAGTGTAGTCCTCAGTGTGTCGTGCCACTCACGCGGCGCCTGGCGGAGACCGTAGACCGGCCGCTGAAGCCTCCACTGGGTACCAGGAGGAAATGACCCAGTGAAGCCAGGTGGGCGGCGCAGCCAGATCTCCTCGTGCAGGCTGCCCTGCAAGAAAGCAGTGCTGAAGTCAAGTGAGTGAAGCTCGTAGTCGCGCTGAGCGGCTATGTGCAGCAGCACCCGAAGAGTGGTCATCTTCGGGGTGGGGGAGAAGGTCTGGAAGAAGTCAACTCCCTCTCGCTGACTGAAGCCTCGAGCCACGTAACGCGCCTTGAAGACAGGCGGAGAACCTGGCGGCCGCTTCACCCTGAAAATCCACATGCCACTGACGATGTTCGCCCCAGGAGGGGGAACCTCGTCGACGTAGGTGCGTGTGGACTTCCAGGAAGCCATCTCGGCGTCCATGGCTGTCTGCCACTGAGAGGAGTAGGGACCCGCCATCGCCTCAGCGTAAGTGCGCGGGGTCGGGATGTCTGGTGCATCCGGGTCTCCCTCAGGGGCAACTAGCAAGGACACGAGACGGGGCAAAGCAGCAGCAAGACACTGGAACTCCTCCTGTCTGTCCTCAAGGACGTTCGTGCCAAGAGCACACTCACCCCCGACGGACGGAGGACAGACAGACTCAGACTCAGACTCAGCAACAAGGCTAGCAGCGTAGTCTAGACGACAGGCAGCAGCAAAGTCAACCAACTCAGCGACCAGAGCAGACGCAGCAGAGGACTCAAAGGTAGGGTCAGTGACAACAGTAGCAAGGAAACGCGTGACAGTAGGGTGCTCAGCACAAAACCGGTCAGACTCAGGGTCCGGAACGTCAGGCAAAGAGGAAGCAGGAGGAGACGGTAGAGGGACACGCTGAGGAGCAGTAGAGGGACGCAGAGTCATGTAGTGAGTGCCTGGGACAGGAGGAGGACGCTCACGACGGACACGACTACCAGTGCCTGGGACAGGAGCAGGACGAACAGGCGACGCAGGACGAGACTCAGGCTCACGACGCTCTATAAGACCTCCTGTGGGACCAGTGTAAGGAGAGGGAGCAGGGAGAGGCGAGGTAGGTGGTAACTGTGACTGCGGCTGGACAGGCGGAGGACACTCTACGGAGGGAGGAGGACAAGGAGGAGGAGTCTGCCCAAGAACCTGCTGAAGGAGCGGTACGAAGTACGGTCGCGGCCGCACAGCGTCTCCGGAAGCAGAGGAGACTCCAGCGGCCGGGTCCTCAGTACCAGTAGGAGCTCCAGCGTCCGGGTCCACAGCACCAGCAGTAGCTCCACCGGCCGGGTCCTCAGCACCAGTAGTAGCTCCAACGCCCGGGTCCTCAGCAGCAGCAGCAGTGCCACCGCTCGGGTCCTCAGCTCCAGCAGCAGCTCCACCGTCCGAGTCCTCAGCACCAGCAGCAGCGCCACCGCCCGGGTCCTCAGCTCCAGCAGCAGCTCCAACGTCCGAGTCCTCAGCACCAGCAGCAGCTCCACCAGGCGGGTCCGCAGCACCAGCAGTAGCTCCAACGTCCGGGTCCTCAGCACCAGCAGCAGCGCCACCCTCAGGGTCCGCAGCACCAGGAGCACCACTCCGAAGACTGCAGCGCCGTGTGTACCACTCGCGGATCTGCTGAATGGGGGGGAGCTCCTGGGTAGGAGGGGAAGTACCGGGACGAGCTCCAGCAGCACCTCTCCGGAGGCGGCAGTACTCGAGGTACCTCTCCTGCAGCTGCTGGGAGGAGAGGGCTCCTCCAAGTGTAGCACGCTCAGGCTCAGCACCCCCAGACTCAGCACCCCCAGGCTCAGCACCTCCAGGCTCCGCACCTCCAGGCTCCGTACCTCCAGGCTCAGCACCCCCAGGCTCCGCACCCCCAGACTCAGCACTCCCAGGCTCAGCACCCCCAGACGCAGCACCCCCAGGCTCAGCACCCCCAGACGCAGCACCCCTAGGCTCAGCACCCCTAGCAGGACGAGAGTCAACAGCTACCTCGACTTGCTCAACCGGGTCTACCTGGGACACACCTGAGGGAGCGGCACCCTGAGGGGGGAGGGGGTCTGGTACCTCAGCACCTGGAGCGAGGAAGAGAGGCGGGGGGGGAGCGGGGCAGTGCGGTAGGGGAAGAGGCGGTAGTAGGGGACGGACTCGTCAAAAGTGACGTCCTGAGAGGCCAGGACACGACGCGAGG